CTTTCCCTAGAATATCATGGCCATGATTTTGTTCATGGTGTGCTTGGTGGAACAAGTTTGCCTATCACCCTTATTGTCTCCTCTAGTCTTCCTCTTAACAACTCTATTTTTTCTCTTATTGATATCCTTCAATGCCCTACTGCTTCTTGTAATTTGTTGTCCATTAATAAATTTTCACGGGATAATAACTGTTTCTTCACGTTTTATCTCAATCATTTTTTGGTTTAGAATTCTCAGACAGGGAAGACTCTTTTCTGGGCCACGAGTAATCTTAGTCTCTACTCTCTCCCATCTAGCATGCCATCTCATGATCCTATTGTATATCTTGGTGTTCGTGTTGCTGGTCATGTTTGGCATTCGTGCCTTGGTCATCATTTATCTCCTATTTTAAAAATTTTATTGTCTACAAATAAGTTGTCTATTGATGGCACTCAGACTTTTAATAATTTTACTTGTCATTCTTGTCCTTTAGGGAAAAGTGTTAAGTTACCGTTTCATACTTTTTTGTCTGTTACGCATGCTCCTCTTGACCTCATTCACTCTGATGTATGGAGTTCGTCTAATAAATCAGTTTCTGTATTTCAATATTATGTTCTTTCGTTGATAATTTTTCTCGCTACTTGTGGATATTTCTTATGCGCTTGAAATTTGAGGTTTTCTCTTTGTTAGTTAAATTTAAGACGCTTGTTGATAATTTATTTTCTACTAAAATTAAAGCCCTTCAAACTAATGGAGGTGGTGAATATACTAGCCGTATTTTTCATAAATTTGTAGTTACTCATGGTATTGACCATCACATTTTTTGTCCCCATCACCCTGAACAAAATCGTTTGGCAGGACGGAAACATTGTCATATTGTTGACATTGGGCTTACCTTGTTGGCCCATGCTTCCATGCCTCTTGCCTATTGGGCTGAGGCCATGCATACTGCTATATTTAATTAATCGTCTTCCTTATAAAGTTTTGGGTCTTCAATCTCCATACCAAATTCTTTTTCATAAAGAACCTAACTTTACGTTTCTTAAAAATTTTGGGTGTGCATGTTTTCCATATCTTCGGTTTTACAATACTAATAAACTTCACTTACGATCTGTTAAGTATGTCTTTCTAGACTACTCATTAGATCATCGAGGTTATCGTTATTTAAACTTGACCACTAGCAGAGTCTTTTTATCACGCCATGTTATTTTTTATGAACATTGCTTTCCCATTCAAGAGACCAAGGGCTCTCATGCCCCAATTTCTTCTTCCTCTGTTGCGGATTCTACACCAATCATTAACTACAAACATGGCATCCGTGAGACACACCCCAGAAGCGGACTGACCATTCCACGTAGATCATCTTAAGGGTATTTTGGAGATAGATAGTCTCTGCATTCATATTTTTCTTGCAAGACTATATCGACTCTGAATCCAATTGTCACTTTGAATTGTGACAATTTGAGGATTGGAGTTGGAACATTCTTTTGTGAGCGAGATAGTTTAACATCACAATGGAACTATATGAGATTTGACTTGGGTTTGTGTTTAGGAATTTGGTAAGGGGATTTGATTTGAGGATTTAGGTTTGTGTTTGAATTTGATGATATGATTTGAGGGTTTATAGTCAAACATAGAATCAACCGCTCTGATACCATGCTAAGAATTATATGGTTTGAATATTTGGATGATTGTCTTCTTCTCTATAAGGAGTAATATATAGTGTTTTACATGTGTGTTTTACAAGGAAATATATATATATATAGGAGTAATATTTGGATGATTGTCTAAGATATGATTGGCTATAAGGAGTAATATTTGAATGATTGGCTAAGATATGATTTAATTAATAAAAAGAAAGTTTTTTTTTTTTTTTTAAATGTATTGACCTAAAGATACTAAGTTCAGAGCATAATAATTACTAGGCTTATTTACTGTAGTGCCCATTGAAACTTTAGTCAAATCTCACTTTGTTTGCCCGTTTTGCGTTTACTCCTGTATATTTAATTAATCGTCTTCCTTATAAAGTTTTGGGTCTTCAATCTCCATACCAAATTCTTTTTCATAAAGAACCTAACTTTACGTTTCTTAAAAATTTTGGGTGTGCATGTTTTCCATATCTTCGGTTTTACAATACTAATAAACTTCACTTACGATCTGTTAAGTATGTCTTTCTAGACTACTCATTAGATCATCGAGGTTATCGTTATTTAAACTTGACCACTAGCAGAGTCTTTTTATCACGCCATGTTATTTTTTATGAACATTGCTTTCCCATTCAAGAGACCAAGGGCTCTCATGCCCCAATTTCTTCTTCCTCTGTTGCGGATTCTACACCAATCATTAACTACAAACATGGCATCCGTGAGACACACCCCAGAAGCGGACTGACCATTCCACGTAGATCATCTTAAGGGTATTTTGGAGATAGATAGTCTCTGCATTCATATTTTTCTTGCAAGACTATATCGACTCTGAATCCAATTGTCACTTTGAATTGTGACAATTTGAGGATTGGAGTTGGAACATTCTTTTGTGAGCGAGATAGTTTAACATCACAATGGAACTATATGAGATTTGACTTGGGTTTGTGTTTAGGAATTTGGTAAGGGGATTTGATTTGAGGATTTAGGTTTGTGTTTGAATTTGATGATATGATTTGAGGGTTTATAGTCAAACATAGAATCAACCGCTCTGATACCATGCTAAGAATTATATGGTTTGAATATTTGGATGATTGTCTTCTTCTCTATAAGGAGTAATATATAGTGTTTTACATGTGTGTTTTACAAGGAAATATATATATATATAGGAGTAATATTTGGATGATTGTCTAAGATATGATTGGCTATAAGGAGTAATATTTGAATGATTGGCTAAGATATGATTTAATTAATAAAAAGAAAGTTTTTTTTTTTTTTTTAAATGTATTGACCTAAAGATACTAAGTTCAGAGCATAATAATTACTAGGCTTATTTACTGTAGTGCCCATTGAAACTTTAGTCAAATCTCACTTTGTTTGCCCGTTTTGCGTTTACTCCTGTGATGGAATGGCAAAGTTCCCCACTGCCTTGAGAACCATAGACTGGTCAACAAGTCAGCTTTCTTTGGTGTGCGAGCGTGCCACTGCTAGTAATAAAAATTCTAGCAGACTTAGTTTGGAATGGATAACTTGCGCCCCAAGTTACTGATTTCTGCAAACAAACGATTGTGAATTTGGGTGAGGAATATCTCCCAAGTAAGTTCTTTTCTTGCCTCAGACTGGTGAGGACTTTAACAATTTATCTCAGTATAAAGAGGTTGTTCTGGCCAGAATGGTTGATGGAATTTAAACTGTTTTCAGGCAGAACTGCCTTTTACAAAACTATAACAATAAATACTCATGCTAGAGAGATGAAGATACAGCTGGAACTCCATTTCTGTCGAGATGGAAGGTTCTGTTCTGGGCTGGACTGGAAATGTCCGGGCTGGACTGGAGACGCTTGGGCTGGACTGGACCGTTGACAACCTTGACTGCTAAGCTTCAACTATAAATCGATACCAAAGGTTGATTCTGGCAGAGCTTCAATGTACCTTAAGCTTTTGTGAAGCTTCTGAGTGGGCAGAACTGCGGCTTCTTCAGTCTGTAAGGGCAGAAGTGGCTGTTCTCGAGGACTTCAGTGGGCTAGAGACTGCACTGTGAATTTTGTTGAGGTTTTCCATATTTGGAGGAGACTCAAACTCTACCTGTCTTGGTTTTTGCTGAACCAAATTTGTAACGAGAGAAATCTCGTTTTGAATGACTTATTTTCTAAGTCTGAACCTTGGGAATTCTAATCTAAAGCTGGTTTTCACTTGGAATTCAAGTGAGCTTCTGGTTGATTTTGAGCTTTGGTTGCTTCAGTGTTGGCTCAATGAGCTTTGGTTGCTTCAGTGTTTTGAAGGTTTTTTGAGATCAAGTGATCATTTTGAGTTTTTGTTTTTGATTGATTTTTTGGTTGT